CGGATAATATTTATGTAAACAAAAATATGGGAATACACAATTCTTTTCATACAGTAAAAAATTTTTTTTCTGAAAAAAACGTTGTGTTATTATTTGCCTACCTTGAAAATGTTACTTTAATTAGGGAATTATTCATAAAACAAGTAATACCGAACAATTAGATAAGGTATCAAGACTAAGTACTTCATCTTGTTAAGCAGCTGCAGTCTACTGCTAACGCTTTCTTCTCAAACATGCCCAGAGCATAAATCTTTCATTTATAAAAATTCACCCGAACGAAATTTTCTAAGGTTATGACAGTCAACCGCTGAATGGTATCTGAATCACTTACGTGAATCCACACTGTTTAACTAAGAATTCTCTACAATTTCACCTATCTGGCAATAGTTCATATACAGTGGACATCCATTCGATGAGTAGGTAAATTACATATCTTGGTTTTCAAGCATGTTGCATTCTTGCTGGCAATGAAAGGAAATACATACACATGAAGTCGGTTTCATCTTTGTTGAATTCAAAGAAAAAGGTTTTCTGAGAATTAGGCTTAGGTTTGCTGAAATAGACAGTAGTTCGCACACAGAATTTATATATCTATAACTTCTTAACTTTGTGCAACTAATCTATATCCCGCTGTTTGCATATATGTGGAAAATATGAGTTTTGTTGTAAGGATTACCATGTACACTGAAATACCTGACACCATCCAATAGATTTGAATGTAGTTCACTGTACCATTAAGATATAAAAAATGTTTTCACATATTTCCTTTGCTCAGAGCCTTCAACATCGTAGTAGTAAATTTAAGGTAACCGCGACCATAAATCACTTCTAACTTTGACGTCTAGAGCTACGCATGAGTATTAACGATAACAGGTAGTAAAAGGAGAAGGCGATTCAAACGACAGTCTGATTTTCAAGTAATACATTTCTCTGAGACATCGAATATCATTAGATTTAAATCAGTTCTACAGATGATGCAAAACTGGGTGGTTCATTGTCTTTCCTCCGCCTCAATCCTGAATTTGGCTCTAAATTTCGAATGTGGTTAATCAATATTCATCCATTTTTGATATAACTGACTTAGCTTCGAGACTATCCAAAGTTTCTTTGCAATAATTTTCGAAACAACCTTCCTTAACTTTCTTCCTTACACACCTTGGTTCTAATAGTCTAAATCCTTATTTTACGGGCTTCTTCTCTTTGTAAACGCTTTCTTCTACGCGACTACTTCTCAGCTCTACTCAACACTATATTTTACCTGATATGCAGTTTAAAATATCAAATTAGTTCTGTAGGTTTATTTTGTTGGCACAACTGTTTAGAGAAGTTATGTAGTAAGTAATATTTACTATGTATGTTTCAGTGAGATATTATGCGAAGTTATAAGCGAAAAATGATATTCTGAATATGTATTTCTACAGAAATGTTCAATACAACATTTGCAATACAATTGTAGATAAATTTATTAGTTATTTATAAAATTCTGTGGCATAAATCTTAGTATATATATCAGAGGAAGAGGATGCGACAATTCCTTTGATGAGGATATTCACATATAAAGGGTATACTCATATAAATGATGAAAATACTCTTGAAAAATTTTAAATTACACTTGTATGTGTTGAAAATTCATCGCAATGAAATCATCTCTTTCCTCAATAAGATAAATGTAACATATATATATATATATTCAGCTAGAGTTAAAGCACAGAGTTGGAATACTTTTAAAGTAGGCACCATTGTGCTTATGAAGTTAATGGAATAAAAATTGAGATAAGCACTTCGTGAGTTTTCTTTTTCATTTAGTTAACTCCTCCAGTTCTGAAAAGCACCACAGCATGATTGTCTAGGAAGAAATAGATGAAATGTTTCTCTTCATGTGATATGTACCTGAAGAAGAATTCATCAATACAAAGTGGCGTCATGATTTAAACTTTTTAATTCATCGAGAAAGTTGGCGATGACTTGACACTGACAAAAATTGCATAAAATTGTGAAAAGAATCATCATAATTCATTTTGAGAGTTGAGTAGAAAAAACACCTGCCAGCTTCATTCTGAATTCAATTATTTGCATTGAAATCCCTTATTTTAAACAAAGCTGAACTGTCGTTTCGTCTGCAGTTACTTTAGAAATATCCCTAGATTTCCTAGAGATGAGTTTCCGAGAATTATTCTCAGTTCATTCTGCGGAAAATCGAGTATCAGGTTAGAGTATAACCCACGGAAATCCACTGCTCTAAAGAAATGGAGACAGATCAGGTATATACTGAGGTGAGAGTGGACTGACATCAGGCACCAGACCGTTGAGTGGAACTCGAGTTGGAAACAGTGTTAGACATCACATAGTGATATTGATGAAATAGTGTGAGGAGGAAATTGAAGTTTATGGGCAGTCGCCCAGTCAGCTAAGTAAGACTGCAGAGCAAACACTACGATGGTGATCCGTTTTCGACGCCCTGCATTCTACCTGGAACACGAGTCAATAATAATTATCATAATAATCTGTCTTCATGTTTTCAACTAATACTTCTATATATAACTCCCACACAAGTGAACAGTAGATTCGCCAGCATTAAGTGTATGCACATATCATGGCAAGAAACAGTGACGTTTGGTAGCAGAATTATGTATTTCACAGAATACAGATACCTGATACTAAGATTCTAATTTCTAAGTGTCTGAAGGAGACATTTCAAGCAACCACCTTACGCATCAGGTTCTCCAGCAGACAATTTATCCACTCCAATGTTAAGGATAAGATGTCGCTTCTGGCCACCTCACTGTGTATTTATCAGTTTTTTTGCTCGTATCAAGCAGTGTAGATCGTCCGTACGCAACGTCAAGTCCACAAACGTATCCTGGAACATTGCTCAGCTTGGTTAACCACAGAAGAAAAGAAGAATAGTGGTAGTTCCATCCTCGAACACCTTGTCATCTCCAGACTTCGATCACCTCTGCATGAATGCTTCACAGTGCTACACAGAGTCCTTCAATACTGTACAAATGGACTTCGCATACGCCCTCTGAATATGGCTGAATCATCAGCTATTCAGGATATAAAACCAGGCCTCTGTATTCAAAAGCGCTACTTACATTCACTTGCCCTACCGAAACCAGAGTAAAGGTCCTACTATAATTTTGCTTCCTTTTAGTATGTAGCTTTAGTATTATTATTGTTACTGTTATTATTCTCATTATTATGCCCATCATCCATATTTTATTATCACTGTATCACTGTTTATTAATAACACCACGTTTTCATACAGCTTTTATAAAAACACTTTATCGTCTTTCCACTAGTTCCTGTCCACTCTACACAACTATACTGATCAGTCATTATCTCACACTTATTACGTCATGCTAACTTCTGCCTCTTTTCTAACTTGCAATTAGTCACCCCCTCTATATTACACCCTACATTACGTAATACATTTTTAAGGACAAATTTTACCGGTAACTGATTAGTCTTATGATTCCCTTGTTAAATATAATTGCGATTGTACAGCAGTTTATGGAAATGAATCGTCGAAAAGAAAATCTTCTTAGTTGTTTACGTCTTTTTCCTAAGATTTCAATTTCTCGAAATTATTCCTCTTTCACTTCTTTCACCTTCTTTGCATACTATTTATACTATTTCACGGGGATTTTTACTTCTCCTCTCCTTGTGTAAGTCTTTTTCTTTCAGTCATGGGCTTCATGTACGACTTTCGAGACATGGACTGTGAAGCCTGAAATCAGTTAGCTGAGATCTTACATGTAGTGTCCCAAAAACTCTAATATAAAATTATACTTATCAAACAAGCCTGTGCGGAGTTAATAATCTGAACTCATTACTGAAATTAACACTAAATGAGACATAAATAGAATGCAATGAAACTTACGTGCCGAAATTAGTTCCGACAACACAATGCCAAGTTGGTGAATACTTTCTATCGAATTCTTTTTTCATAAAAGCTGCAATATCTTTTCCAAGTGTGTATTTTTTAAGCGCAATAGCACACATATCTACAGCGTCCTGTTGCATTTCATCAGGCATATCAACACTTTTGATGATAGCTTTCAATTCAGGCATTTTCAAGTTTTATTCTTCTCTGTATTCCTTGAATGTTGTATTATTTACATATGAAGTAATAATCTTTTTGTTTGTACTTCAAGATCTCTGCGTTGCTAAATAATGTTTGAACAAAACTTTTCAGCGTGCTATTTATGCGCATATATTAATTCGAGTGTGCAAGAGTGTTTGTCCACAAAGTAAGTAGAAAAACAACTTTTCATCACAGTGGCCGAAGTAACAGAAATTGTGAATATCAATTTGTACTTAGTATAAACACATCACTAAATGTTTGATCAACGGAGAAAAAAAAATTAGTCCGAATAAATTATCTGAACCGTGTGCTTGTGTGTCTTTTTCTATATGTCTGCTTACGTGCGCAACAGTGAATCTTCGATTTAATTTATTAAGGAAAGGTCGAATCGATTGTAGAAACGGAAGCTTTTAACTTTCAGAGGAAATGTTTTAACACAACTGTACACATAAGAGTGGATGGTTCGTTGTCACTTTACTGGAATCTAAACTATTGTGCAATAGACTGTATGGTTTGATATCTCTTTGTGAAAAATGGATAATTGAAACAGACCTATTGCAAATTAAAGAACTATATAATTCACCACAGTAGATCCATTTCTGTTGCTGAATATTTTTCAAAATTAAAACCAGAGGTAAATTACAGTTTTCAGTGTTTTTCGTAAAAGAGGTTAAATACTAAGTCTGATACTGATTTTGTTCTCAAATGTGTCACATAGTTACTTTAACTCTGAAAAGCATGGATTTAATTTGACATAATGATAATAATCACAGTTTCTGCCCTGTTCGGTGCAAAAGAGCCTTGGTAAGGTGCCTCTTCAGTAGAATTCAACGAATATGCACTGAAGACATACTTGATGAGGAAGAATGAAAGTTGACACAAACTCTGTTTGATAAAAATTATCCAGACAAGTTCATCAGGAGATATAAAGTAGTCAGAACACCAAGACCCACTCTCCAACTCGCCCCTAAGAAAGACGTGTACATCAAGCTACCCTATATGGAGGATCATAGCAGCTTGACAAGTAGACAAAGATTGAACGCTGCTGTTAAAAAGACTTTTTGTGCAGCTAATATCATAATAATTGAGAATGTGAGGCCAATATGTCCATCTAAGCCCTTTGAACATGAGAAAATTTATGTCACATCCCACTGTATTTACCAGTTTGAATGTACGTGTGGCCACACATACAAGGAGAGGACTCATCGATCTCTGTAAGTAAGGTCTGGCTTCAGAAGCAAACAGAATCCTCAGAACCCATTAATGGTGAGGACAGGAAACTTAGCTCCTCTACTGCGAAACATATTATTCATACAAGACATAAAATTGATGTTCACACGTCGTTTGAATCTATATATAGAACGTGTTTGGGGTACATCCTAAAGTTTGTGGTAGCCCTATCAATTAGGAAGTTTAAACCACCTTTATGCGTGCAAAAACAATTCGTCACCACATTAAACCTTCCTTGGTAAACTTTGTTTTGATACCATAGCAGATGCACTATTACCTCTGTTATTTAGTTTAGTGACCTTGATTGTTATTTCGACCTTCAATGTGTCCTTTTAACTTGACCTAAATTTATTTTCTCACCTCTTAACTCTTTATTAAATTCATATATATTCCTATGATAAGTCTGTGTGTGATCAGATTGTTCGAAATGTGTTGCGCAAATACATTACATGATTCAGACAAATTACGTCTTCTTATTGCTTTGTCTGACATAATAATATTAAAATGGTTAGGTGATAAAACGAAAACAGAAATTGATGAAAAATTCATTATCAACACCTGGATGTATTAACTATAAATCGGTTCTTACTGTCAACTTAAAGTATACGGATAATAAAGAATAAAAAAGTGTCTCCTAGTTAAAGTATATTAGTCATTTTCAAGGAAATTAATAAGGCGGAGTATGCGACATTTGGGAATTTTAAATACACCTCTAATTGAACAGTATTTCTCCTGTAGCTTCTTGTGATGAGTATTTGGATAAGCAGATCTCAGAAGACATCAATTCAAGTATCAGTGAAAGTTAAAGCTTGAAGACAAATGAACGAAAAATATCTTATATAATATATAGCTGTGGCAGTACTCGTAATTAACCGAAGTTGATATACATTTGTTGTACTGACAATCGAAGTTAAACTTAGGAAGAATCTCAGTTTATGGTTACAATGTCAGCACTTCATTATTGAGTGAGCCTAGAAAATAAATTTCGAAAGGCGTAATACAACCTCATAAATGAACGATAATATGAAGAAGTGCTGTGTTACGACTAAACCCGACGTACGGTGGTCTGAACGCAAGAGACTTATCTTTGCCTTTTACTGTATAGCTATCCAGAACTTCCTTGGTTAACGCACAGTACAAAAATGTCCCAATAATAATGAAAAGACGACAATTTGTGATAAAATCCGAGGTACTATCTAACAGCAATGACATATGCTACAGCTAAATTACCTCAACAATGCCATTAGGCAGATATACAAACCAAATTAGACCTTAGACACAAAACAAGTAGTATACAATAGAAATATTTAACCAAAATCAACCATATGAAGTACCTTAGAATCAAGAAGAATATTCTCAATAAGGTGGGATCAAAACTCTGTCAAACAGCTGTGTGGTTGAATGGTGTCCTAAGATTTTAAGCTTCATCTCTAATGAATAACACTGGAAAACATTGCCCTGATTTAATTGTTCTTTGCTCACAGTTGACGGAAAGACTAGCATTACTAGATATTTCGGTTTAAACTAGTTATGAATAACTTAATTCTTTGTATTTTTCATCTCCTACAAATCAGCAGGATTCCCTTAAATGCTGCTTTCTTACGACATCTCATCCTTTTTGTTGTAGATAATTTTCTGCTAAAAGTTGTGGTATGAAGTTGTGATAAAGAAATGGTGAAGGAAACATAACAACTTGAATTACAGTCAGGATGTCAGCGAAGAAAACTTGGTTTGTAACAATCTCAATAAGTAGTTATTCTGTACTTAAGCTTATCATAATTCACAAAAACTTTACGTAATCCCTATTGTATGTTTCATTTTACTTCACTTCAGGTCATGGTGCTTTAACACTTTGTCACACTTTCCTATTCTACTAGATTTGAACAAAACAGGAATACAGGATTTCATCATGAGGTGACATCGGTTAAAGGACCACCAGAAGGCCTAGGATTACAGCTGTTTCCTCCTAGTTTGGGACTCTTCGAAGTTCTCAACCACTGGCGTTCGAACCCAGGACCTTCCGTTAACAAAGCAAGCTCGAGGACCATCAAGCTACTGGGACCTGGCCTATCGGCCCATGAAGAATAAACAAACTAAGCAGGATAACATAGTGTCATTTCATTTTGTTGCTTGTTGCCAATTGTATACAATCTTAAACAGTTTTAGTACCAACATGCAAACTATATTCGCACTCTATTTTCTGCGCATGAAGGTGGTCATTATTATTAGGTAATTACACCATACAACGAAAAGCAATAAAATTTGTTGTGGAGCTGGTTAGTATAAATTGAGACGATTAGAAGAACATTTTGGAATTGGGAACGAATGTCGCAAAACAATAGCAGTGTAAAACCGATAGCGCATATTAGATAAGGGTTAAATAATCTAGTTGGGCAGTGGGCAGAAAATAGTTAGGTCAATTTCCTACATAAAGACAAAACTGGGAGTATGAAATTTCATTGTCTAAACAAAGTGTCATTAAAATAACCACCAGAAACAAAACTCAATTAACACAGAATATATTCATATGGGTTAGGAGAGATTGGTAACAGTTTTGACTGTTTAATAACTCAGCAGAATGTAGTTAACTAGAATTAACTTGAACTTAAATTATCTGAAATGACTTTAGTACAATAAATTCATGACATCTATTTATCAAATGGCTAGCAATTGCACTGCTGAAGACGCTCACAGCTTACAGTCGCACGTTTCTTAGAATATGTACGAGAGTGCAGTCACAAATCTCCCTTTATTCACCTGACATTAATGCTTTGGTACAAGGTAGGTGTATTTTCAGGTAAAATGAAAACGGGGCTTGTAAACTATGAATTGTTCCAATCACTAACTTGTTTTTACAGTGTGATCGGATCGGTAGCTGGATATATCATCTTTACGCTTATGTTTATTCTGTATCTGGTTCTTCTAGACACCTTTCAATCGAAGTTTTGAAGGAGGTTTAATCCTACTTCTTTGTATCTGATCTCGCTTTGATACTTGGTGTTCTTTTATGTTTATCAATACCTGTTTTTGGGTAGCTATTGTCTCATATTTACTTTACAACAATGGAGATGTCCTTCCACAAGTCATTCCTTTGAACAAAGCTTTTCATTGCAGTCAAATAATTTTCAAACCAGATTTTTCTTAAAAACTCAGAGAACAGAGGCTGTTAAAATCTGGATACCGAGCATTCGAAGATATTTTACGGTGGATATGTCTTTGTATATTTTCATCTGTAGTTTTCAAAAGTCAGAGATCCGCAAAATGGAATCTTTCGTTTACCTCACATTTAATGGTGAATTGAATTCATTTATGTGCCTTGTTAAATAAGTCAGGAAGATGAATGGCACGTTTACTGCATAGTTAATTATTAAATTTGACTTGAAAATTCACATATTCAAATTTCTGTTTTTTGATTACACTCAATCTTTGAGAGGATATATGTGATCACTGACAACTGAGGTTCTGAAGTCATTCTTTTTTATATTATTCGAGTGATTTCCTTAACTAATCCATTCAATGAAGATGAGTCAGTCAAGCTGTTGGCTAAAATTCGATTAATGTACATTGGAAAAAATTCATTCAGTGATATCTGAGGATATATACTTAAAGTATTTAGACTCACTTCTGAGCTGAATATCAGGTCACCTTGCTACAAATATCTAAGCTGAAATGGCTAACATTTCACCAAAATGTATAGACTGAATTATTTATATTATTTCAACTTACTAGATTTAATCTACAAAAATATTAGAATCTTCTCGTTGTGTCAAGAATAAGCAACATCTTAATTGACTTAATTTCATTCACCCTTCGAAAAACTAGCTTGTTCTAATTTGCATCAGAGCATCTACTACACTAAAGGAAGTTTTGGAAATTATGAAAGATTTATCTTATTCTGGTGCTTTATTCTGCTATTCCATACAGAATACAATGCTGAAATATGTAAAAATTTCGTAGATGGAACACTAGTAACAAGTGTGATGTGTCTAGTTCT